TTTTTTTTTTTTTTTTTTTTTTTTTAAATCTAACAGAAGAGTTTAAGGATATTTATTTCCCCTTCACTGAAGTGTGGTGCTCATTCTGGCTTGTATTACACTGAAAAAGTAACCTTTTGTACATGCTTTGAGATATTAAAAGCTGCACAGACAAAAGAGGCTTCTCTTATTGCTGGTGTGAAGGTGGCTAAGTGTAAACAGTTTGAAATATGGTAGTGAAGAGACGGTAGGGAAATGTCCCCACCATGGAACTTTATCTGCCTAAATGTCAAAGGGAATATAGTAGGCAGATGAGTAGCATGTTGTCAGGCTAAATTCCATCTGTCTTCTCTTAAATAATAAACCTCAGAAGCAGTTTAGTGATTTTTTTTTTTTGGTGGTGTTGGTTCCTCTGAGAGGAAAATTGAGAAGACTGGAGATTCTTGGTGGACAGCAGAAGGAATACTATTATAAAACTGGGACAGTCTTGGCTGAAAAATGAGGACCATTGCATTTCTGGAAATCAAACAAGAGGAGCAATGGAATACCCAGCTTGACTGGCATTCCTTCAGAATAACAAAAGCTAGATATTGATGAGGACACGCAGGAGGAGTGTGTCTTGGTCTGTAACTGATTATGTATCAGAACAGAATTAATCTTGTAAATTAATCTTGGAAAAGTCTTATCAGGTTTAATTTTTTTAAATAACAAAAGCTACAAATGAGCCAAACCCCGGAAAAAGAGATTCAGTGTGTAGAGGAATGTAGAGTCTAAAAATGAATTTTTAAGCTGTTAACATTGACTTTCCCTTCCTCAGCGCCCTCGAAGCACTGTGAATGCTGGTATAGAAGTGCCCTGCCCGCTGCCCAGTTTCACCCCGTATGTGGAGGAGTCAGCTCAGCAACAAGTCATGTGAGTCTTCAGTTTGAAATGGGGATTGCATTTGAAATAATCAAAGCTGCTTTGTAAAATTCTGACTTGTTTTGCCAAGTAGCCAAGCCCCATGATCTACAGGAATCTAAAAATCTGGCTACCTGGAAGCTCTTAGTGCTTTGGTTTGATGGCAGAGGCTGCAGTGGAGGATACATAAGGACATGGGAAGTATTTGAATACTGCTGCTCATTATGTGGGAGCTTCTATCATATTTATATATGCTAATTAGTTTAATGTCTTAATTCAGTGTGTTTACACAAAACCAGAGTTACCTCTCTTAGGATGCTGTTTGCTATGAAAGCAGCCCCGGACTGAGATGGCTTATTGTTGTTTTCCAGTATTTTAGGAACTCTGTGCTCATTCCCTTTGGAGTTTTATTCTGAAACAAGCTATCAAAGTTTCCATGACAACAGTGTTGCTTAGGTTATGGAGGAGTAGTGCTGTTTTGCCTGAAATAACCTCCCTGCTTTTACAGTGCTCACTGAAATGCTGATAAATCCCAGGAGATGGGGTTGCTCTGTTTTCTTAGAGCAGAGTACAAAGCATTATTTTGCAAAGCTGCTGAACTTTCTGTGGCTAATGATGGCCATGGAATATATAGGCTCTTCCTGAGAGAGAAGTGGAAAAGAATGTTTGATATTGCAGACAGCTTCCTTGGCTTTGGATCATGTATAATCAAAGCATGTTGAAAGGTATCTACCAGTGGACTTTTCACGTGGCTTTTGTTGCATGTTGACTTCAGAGTAGCTCTGACCAAGGACATACAATTCAGTTTAAGAATATGTAAGAACAATAAGTTTCTGTTGAAGCTATAAGACTATTTCTTGCTCCTGGCAGTCAGTGATGCCATGGAATTAGATCTCTTGATGTGCTGGTCTCTCTTAGGTGAACACTTGTTTACAGAGGTAGCATCTTTTTCTGCCAGGGAAAAGGAAGGGGTGGGTGGGAACTGAACATCACATGAAATTAGCTGTAAGCAGCTTGAGCAGAGAGTTTGTATGGAGCTTTGTGCTATGTAGTTGAAAGCTTAAAAGCAGATACTTTTTTTCTGCCTTTGAGTCCATTTCCTCATGGTGGCATGGCTGTGAACCAAATGAAGGCTGAAAGCGTTGTGTTGAAACTGTGTAAATGTGATGCAAATCATGCTATCAGTTGTCATCTGGAGATTTGAGTAGGAGGATCCTGTAGTGATACCAGTAATAAGCCCCTACCCCACAAATAGAAGTTTTAAAACCCCCCCAACACCACCATTAGGAGCACCTCTTTGCTGCTGCATCTCCAAGATGTTTGTAGGGTGGACTCCATTTACATGCATAACAAACCAGATGTCTTGGAACTGTGTGCTGTGTTTTCTTTTGATCTGTTTACCCAGACCACAGTTAACCTATTTCTCAAGGTTCATTGTTCAGAACATCTTTCCTTGAGGTACAAATAATTGCTGAAGCCATCTGGATTACTGTATCTGTAAAACTGTACAAATTCTGCTTCCTTTCTCCTGAAACTAGCGTGTAGCGCTTCCAGAAAGCGCTTTCGAGCTAAGTTGACTGCTGCTAACTCCTTTCACTGTGCAGTGATGGGGTTTCTGTGTGGATTTTTGTTGGTTTTTTTTTTTTATAATGGGGCACTTGTTTTGCTTAGTAACAGAAATTATTTTCCTTGAGCAAATTCCCCTCTTATTGCATCTTGAATCTTATATTTTTTTCTTAACCTAAAATGCCAGGCTTAATCTAGTTCAAGATCTTTCATTTTTAAGTCTCACTGATTCTTTTTTTCCTCCCCCAGATAAACTATGTTTTGTAGGATAAGGGACTTGTCACCTGTGTGATCACACAGATCAATGGAGCATAGATCCTGATCCAGAATGCACAGCAGCAGTTCCGAGTATCATAAGAATTGTATTTGCTCTTGACTGGGCCCTATTAACACTTTGTCTGGGATTTTTTTGTTTTTTTTTTTTTTATCACACAATTCTGAGTCTGCTTGCCTTTTATGTGCTATCACTTCATTTTTCATGTTTGTTTTTTCTATCAGCAGAAGAGACTGTCTTTACACTGTTCGACAGCTAGATTCAGAAATTAGCTATTTTTTCTCCTGTGCTTGCTTTTCTGTGTTACAGTGAAGTACATATAATTAAAGTAATAACTGCATGGTTTGTTGTTTGTTTTTTTTTTCAGGACTCCCTGCAAAATTGAACCTAGTGTAAACTGTGTTTTAAGTGCTCGGAAACCTGAGAAAGAGGAGGACCCACTGCAACGAGTACAAAATCATCAGCAGGATACTCAAGAAAAGAAAGAGGTGGTGATGTACTGTAAAGATAAAATTTATGCTGGAGTTGAAGAATTCTCTTTGGAAGAAATCCGAGCTGAAATCTACAGAAAGAAAGCAAAAAAGAAAGCAGAAGGTATGCGTCCATATGGGATGATGTGAGACTTTGAGATGGGATCATAAAATGATACTTAACTTTTTATCAGCATACAGCTGTCTGTTATTGCCGCTGTTTTTCTTATTCAACTGGAATAGCTATTTAACTGCTCTGAGGTATAGAGAAAGTAAAATGTCTGACAGCTTTGCGTGTAAGCTGTGAAATGGGGAAAGAAGACCAGAGGTTTTAGCCCTTTAAAAATAATTTAGGCTTTAGCCACAGATTGCATGTGGAATATGCTTTGTGCCTTATAAGCTTTTCTTCTTTAGAGGAGATGCAGGCCATAGCACAGCAGAAGGAAGAAATACAAAAGAAAATTGAAGAGCTGGAGATGAAATTAAAGAAGAAAAAAGATGACAAGCAGCAACAATCATGTGAACAGGTGTTGTCCTCATTTAACTGTTCTTTTACGAATAGCTACTCTTTGAAGTAAAAGTACCAAAGGAGGAACAATATCTAGTATACTTCTTTGACTAACACTTTTAAAACTTTTTTTTGAAAGGATGCTTCAGACTATTGTATGCACACATTACCCAGTAAATGAATGCTCAGAGAAATACTTCTTTTATTCTCCCTGACTTGTTCCCAAGCCATATCTTTTCACTATAGGAATGTAAATCAAGGACTTCAGATTTTGTAGTGTTACAAGTATTGTTATTTAACAATTGGACAAGACATCTTATGCTAAGGTATAAAGTTAAAAATTTTTTAAAGTAAATATACGCCAAATGCTCAGGGATGAATTGCTCATTCTTAGGCTCTATTTGTATGCAGTTTCCTTTTATATAGAGAATTTGTAGAGCAAAAGAAGACAGAAGCAGCTGGAACTAGGGAAAGAAGTGAAAGGTTGCAAAGTGGTGTGGGCTAACCCGGGTAGGCAACTAAGCACCACACACCTGCTTGCTCACTCCCCCTCAGTGGGATGGGGGAGAGAATTGGAAGGGTAAAAGTGAGAACTCCTGGTTGAGCTAAGGACAGTTCAATAGGTAAACCAAAAGCTCTGCACACAAGCAGAGCAAAATAAGAAATTAATTTGCTGCTTCCCCTTGGCAGCCAGATGCTTAGCCATTTTCAGGAAAGCAGGCTTTCATCATGCATGATGGTTACTGGGAAGATACATGCCGTAATTCTGAACGTCCACCCTTCCTCCAGATTTTGCTGCTGAGCATGATGTAATATAGTACAGAATATCCTTTTGGGTCAGCTGGCTGAGCCGTGTCCCCTCCCAGCGTTGTGAGCCCCCAGCCCGCTTGCTAGCCTGGCAGCGTGAAGAGCAGAAGACCTTGGTGCTGTGTAAGCACTTTCAGCAATAGCTCACCAGCGTGTTACCAACATTGGTGCTGTTTTGGGTTTGTGACTAAAACATACCAGCTACTATGAAGAAAATTAGCTCTATCCCAGCCAAGACAGTAAACAAAGCTGTATCTGATTTGTCCCCAAGTCTTATAGACAGTAGTATGCTCCATTATGTATGAGATTTTTTTTTTTAATGCAGACCAGTCATGAGCAGAGTATCTGTCAAACAAGTATACTTCAGTCTGTCATTGTTTGGTAGTGTTTAAACTGCAGTTTTCCTGCAAGTTGCATATAACAAGTAAAAGTTAATTATTTTAAAGTGTCTCCTTTTCCCAACTTTGTCAGCTGGGCTAATAAAGTGTGTTCTTGCTTTTGTGTTCTCTCTCAAAGCACAGTAGTAAATATTTTAGAGAATGAAATACGAAGTGTTGTGAATTTGATGTAAGCTATGTAACTGCTTACATGTGTCTTTAATAGCTGCAGTATAGCTAAAATCTATGAAATTTATATATTGTTGCAAAGAGTAAAATTGCACATTTTAACTACACTAAGCAATAAGAATGTACTTTTTTTTGTGCAAGTAAATTAGATACAAATGGCTAAAGACAACTATTAATCTGTCAGGGTTTTAATGACCTATGCAGGATTGTCATAATGTTCTTGGAACCTTGTTGCATGGCTTGGGATTCTAACCAAAAATACGCTTTTGTTTCTACAGCCAATAGAGATAACCAAAGCTTCGCCATCTTTGGGACTGCAAGGATTTACTTTTTCCAGTGCAACAGAAGTTGGGGAGAAACCACTTCAGTTGCAAAGGTAGTACAAGACTTTCTGTGCCAGCAATGAGAAAATTTGTGGGAATAACTTAGTTAAGAGTAATATAGATCACTAACAGCCTGTTTCCACAGGCAGAATGGAATATAACCCTGGACATCAGACTGTAACCAGGATCTGTAATGTGTCTTTATATACTTTTGATTAGTCTGAGGGATCTTAACTTCCTACAGGTAGCATATGTCAGCTTGGATTGCCTTTTTTACAAAGTTTACTTTTACTTATATTTTACACACCTTCACAAAACATGAAACAAGCTTGTGTCGTTTTCACAGTGAATTCGAGGTCTCTGAAGATACTCAGCTACGTAAATCATCTTGTTCCGAGGGTAAGTATTTAAATTTTTTTTATTGAGAAGGTTGGTTAAAGGGGTGTTCTTTTATATGAATAGCAGGACTGCAACAAACTAAAACCAAAAGTCTAGGTGGATTAGAAGAATGAAAATTAGAACATGTTAGTAGCTTTTTGATCATATTCAGCAGAAGACCGAGCATCTGAAGTCTGAGAATTGTCACTATTTGAACGGACTTTGAAACAGAAGAGCTTTTTTCTTTTAATAGCTGAAGACCTTTCTTCACACTTTCGTATATGCAGTTTTACTAAAATCTAAGAGTTTAACATGAAGAATGATACTATCTTAAGTTCTTTTTTTTTCTTCAGAGGATTTGGTAGAGGAATACAATCAAAAATTATTTTTGTTGTTGGGAAGGGTGCATGCCGAAGAAGTTTATTTTTGACCTGAATTTACTGCTGCTGTTGTTGTTGACAGAGGTTATCCAGTCTCCTGATGTATGCCCAGATATGCAAAGCGGAAACGTGTTTTTAGACTCTGAGGAAGAGCAGAAGGAACAGAGAAATGAGGCCAGCCTTGGGAAAAAAGGTACAAATTCTGAAGCAAATTCTAAAAAGAGCAAGCTAGCTAACATGATATGGTGGCAAAAGTGTGGTTCATTAATGTGACAAAAGCAAGTCTTTTTTTTTTTTTTTAATAGGTTTCTTTAAATGTCAGTTCTGTAACTCCCTACTAGGACTGGTATTTTTAAGACTGTGTGAAATGTTTTGAGTAGCACTGGATACGCTATTGTGGAAAAACTGTTAATACAATAGAGCCTCTTGGCTTTTCTTTACCGATGTAGGTCTCCTTCCCCCACCGGATCCTGGTGTGCTTTTCTCCATATTTGATGAATCCTCTACTTTGAAAAATCAGAATACAAGGTAGAATTAATCAAGGCCTAGATTTCAGAGGGAGGGAAAACTCCAGTATCGGCCCACTTTCAGTAGCAGCTAAAATACAGTACTGTTCCTTGTATGGATCTGGGGTGGGTTTTAATTTTGTTTGTATTTTTTGTTTTATTACTCTTATTTGGGAAGTCCATGACAAGCAAATACTCTCCTGTTGTTCCTCCTCAGTCTAGAACTATTTAAGCTGCTATATAAACTTCATCCTGGAGAGCTATATGTATTGCAATTTACTGGTAGTTCTGTAGTAGAAAGTGGTAGATTGAAATTGTCATAGACATAAATTCTTGAGAAGAATCTGTTGCAGATTGGAAGCTACTCTAATAAATATTTAATGGAATGTAACTTTATCTTAGTTGCTCTACAGATCATACACAGAAAAGTTCTCGGCGCCCTCTTGCTGTTCGTAAACCTTCAGATTCTGTAACTGCAAAGGAAAACGTGCTGCCAGAAGCCTGTGTAAGGACACAGTTTACCTCACAGCAGATTTCCTGTCCAGGAGAAACCACCATAGAATGTCCTACTGTTGAACTGAGTGAGACTGGCTGGACTGACATGCTGTGCGATAAGCAAGGATTCTAAACTTCTCTCTGTCCTGGCAATAGTGAATTGGGTGATGTTAAGATTACACTGGAAATTTCAGGTTTCTATTAGGCTTTAAGGTGGCTAATGCAGAGATATGCAACTGATTAGTGGCCTAGATTACTCACACTGAAACTTTATAAAAAGTTTGTGTGATGAATGGCTGCATCTTCAAACACTACCTCCTGTTCCATCCACTTTCTCGCCAATGCTTCCAAACAAGCATCTCAGCTCCTGTGTTCCTCACCCAAAGTACCATATGCTTGACTCGCTTAGACCTTTGTATCTTGTTTCCTAAGCTACAATATGAAATACTTAGCGGACTTAAGCATGGTAGGCATCGTGCTGATTTGGGTTCTATCCAGTCAGTCTGGATAACTGCCTGTTTTCTGCTTTACAAGTTCTATGTGTCTTCAGTGCCCAAGATTTTAATAAATGCTTTAATAATGTGCTTATTTATAACTGTACAGAAATGTACTTTTAGGGTGGTAGATACTAAGTATCCTTTAACATTTCATGGCAGCTCTGCAGTGAGTAACAAAGCTACCCTTTCTACTTGGAGAAAAACTATGCAACTATATTACAGTTAAGGTTCAGTTACTCAGATTGAATAAACAATCTAAGTAGAGTACATGAAGACTGAGGGTCAGATTCCTTTTGGAAGGTGGTAGGGTGGAAGAAGGGGAGACAGAAATGTTCAGCTTTTAAATAAATTAAAATTTATCATCTACAGGCTTTTCACTGGCTCTTCCTACTTTTTTTCAGGTTGAGCTGAATGGAATTGAGCCTTTGACTGAAGATGCAATTGTGACGGGCTCCTACAAGAACAAAACCCTTTGTGCCAACCCAGAAGACACATGTGACTTTGTCAGAGCTGCCCATCTGGCATCGACACCCTTTCATGGGGTGGTAGCTCAGAGAGTCCCAGCTCCTGCTCTTTCACAGTGTGACCTGAAGGAAGACTGCTCAGAACCTAAGAGTGCACCTCTGAATGAGGAAATACCCGTTTCTGAGGGAGCATACAGTGAAGCTCTTTGTGTAAACAAACTGAGGTAATTAGCAGCAAAGCATCTTAAGCCCCTTTTCCTGTGTGTCTTTCATTGGTTGTGGATTTACTATTCTGTTGCTGAAGAAATAATTTTCTGAAGAGATCAGAGTATCCTGAAGACAGCCATTTCTCTAGCTCAGGATCTGTTTTGCCTTGAGCAGATTTAAGAGGTGATAATAATACCCACTTGGCTTTTCAGCATTACTGCTGTGAGACTTAACTCCCTGCTTTTTCTACCAAATAACTTGCAAAGAAATTAATAAATGCATTCTGTCGTTGTAACCAGAGATTAAAAGTAGAATCATCAGTTCCTTTTATACTCATATGCTTCTGTAGTTATTTTAGTTTATAAAATGCATCTCGTGAATATGGCTTAGATTTCTTCTACAGAGGAGAAAAGCTGGAGAGAAGAAAAAAAACTGGCAAACCACCTCCTGTTTCTTACCATTGTGAAGAAAAAAGCATCTGTTGTATGGGCTTTTCCTAATTTAGAAATGTTTGATTTGCTAGCTGTTAGCATGTAAACATGTATACCGTGCTGAAGGTGTTTGTGTACTTGGCAAGTTCCCTGGGAAACTATGCTGATTATAATTGGAAAGGAAGAGCAAAAGTTATTTCCCACCCAGCCCTCCACTGCTTTAAAATCAATGTAGGACTGGATTTTGGTAGTGAAGGGAGCAATAAACATTCAGTATGTCTTCTGTTGTAGTAGTCATATTTAATGGGAGAGAAGATAAAATTCATCTGTAGACTTAAGATTCTGAGTATAACAATCATTGAAGCTAAAATGAAGCTCTGACATGACTCTTGGTTTTCCACTAAGGATGGGAGTGCACAGAATCCTTTCATAGTCACTAAGGTGGCATTATCTACACATTCTATCTTCTGAAAGTCTGAGTAGCTGATGACTTTATATTTACAGCCCCATCATGGAAGCAAGCCTGGAAGATACTCGTTCGTCAGGTTCTTCTGTCTCAGGATCTTCTCTTTCCTCTGTTACACAAATATCTACTGTTAAATACCTGCATATCCCTGAGAAACTGGAACTTGCCCAGAGCTTGCCTGCTGAAATGGTTCCTGATTCTGGAGGTGTCAGTGAAAACATTACTGGTTAGTACTAAACGTGAGTTTCACTCACAACAAATAACTTGCAGCTAAACTATGGTGCTCTTTCTGTACTTTCTATATTTTACTCTGCTTTCTGTGTATTTTCTGTTACTTTAACTTGTCACTAAACTTGTGTTTCCTTTGTCAGAAGTAGTAGTGAGGTATGCAGTGTAGCATGCTTGTCAGCATCCAAAGATGTAAATTTTAAGGTGATGGACAAGTTATTTAAGGTATTAAAGCCGGGATTTTTTTTGTGTAGGAGTAGTAAAGTCAAATTCTGAAATGAAAGATTTGCGCTGGATAGTAGTGAGAACTCTTAAGACTGCTTTGTTTTGTCTTGATTTTTTTTTTCCCATCTGTAATCATACCACGTGGTGTTCTGATGTTCTGATAAGTGCCACATTGGAAAAGGTGAATTTGAATTTGAAATCTAGTGGAAGTTGCATAATTTTGGTTTTAAATTTGCACTCAATTTCGCTGTAAACTACTGTGCTGCTTCTCAATATGATTTTTTTTCCTATTGAATGGAAACAATACTGGTACTTAAATTGTTATTTTTTTTTCTTCGAGCCAAAGGCCTTTGTTTCTCTCTGTAGTAAGTCTTTATATTACAGTTAGAACAGGAATGGTCATGGTCATAAAAAACCTTCAAAATCTGGCCTGTTAAATTAGGTTTGTGTCGAATGACAGTTTTCAAGGTGTTCAACCTGCTTTAGCTCCTTTATTTCAGTTTATGATATTTTAATTACAATTGTGTATCTGAAAATTCTCAATCTGCCTTACTGTAGAGATGTATATGTTATTGTGTGTCTGCAGACTATTTTATGATGAAGCATGCTTGGGACCTGGAATGACAGTACAATTAGGAGAAGAGTATTGTCACAGAAATAACTGAAATGTTTTGGATAGATCTGATCTTACACTCTTTTTTTTTTTCATATGCACTAATCTTTAAAGCAAGAAAAAGAAGGCATTTGTTCAGAGGCTTTAATGGTCCTTTCTTAAACTTTTGATTCCTGTTACTTTTTCCTTGCTTTGCACATCTCCCTTGAACTGCCGTTCTCAACCTGGGTGTAGTAATTCTGAGGACTCCTTAATGCTGCATAGAGCAGAAAAATTACTTCAGATGTCTGTCAGTTTTATTCCTGTAAAATATGCCAGGAAATTTCATAGGTCTGTGATGATTAAATAGTAAAACGCCTATTTAGCCTTCTTCCTATCATGTTTCCTGGATTTACTTTCCAGGAATTATTTCCTGAGCATTGTCTTACTGCAATGCTTTTCAAATAAATACAACAGTAGGTGATGATACTCTGATTCTTACCTTTGTACTGTGAAAGCTTGAAATGTTATCACCCGTGACTAGTCATAGTCTTTGGGAGAGGAAGTTGGTAGAAGCTGTCTAGTTTCTGCTGTTTGCCTCATCATTTGAGTGCAACATTTCTCAGGCTACCTTGGTTTTCTACAGATGAACTCACCTATTGAATGATTTTTCTCTCTGTCCTGTGATGAAGGAAAATAAACTTCCAGGAGGTAAAAGCTATTAAATTGTTAATGTTGCAGTGAGCAGCAGAGTTGGAGTCCAACTTTGTTTTCCCTTTCTTATATAAAACCCCTGCTATATTCAAAGAAGTAAATTTGAATAAAACCCTTCATTTAATAATCACAAACTGATTGCTCACTCTGGACATAAATTAACACTCCTTTTTTAAATTTACAAAATGAGTGTCAATTCTTCTGTGGCTGAGCAGGCGTACCTAATCTAATTTAGAGCTGTGTGTCTCGTGAAAGAGAATACAGTAGAATCACTAAGACCTCAGGATGTCAGTAAGGTAGCTTCAAAGGTGAGTGTTATGTTCACTTTGCAGAACAAGAAACTGTTGGAAAGAGATTAACTGACTTGCTGAGAGGTGATGCTGTAAATCAGATTGCAGATAGAGAGCTTCCAATATCCAGGTTACTTTTTCTTGACAGATACAGTCAAGTCACAGAGATTCAACACCTAGTTTCAGCTCATCTGTTTCTATTACTTCTCTTCCTAGGTGATGTAACTCGGTTCTTGTGGAGTGCTGAACAGCGTAAAAAGCTTCTAGATCCTATGCCAGAATGGTTGACTGCTGCTCCAGACTTTCATTTGGAGACTGGCGCTCTGCCTGTCATGGAGCTTGAGAAAGACGTTGAGCTAGGTAGGTTATGCCAGACACTACAGTGCAAGGGATCTATTTGTGTTCTAATTGGTTTGAAATATACTTTATATTCACCCTCACTAGTTTTATGTGGTGTAGATAGGGAATAACTTGAACAGCCTGGGTACATATATGTACTGTGACAGCTCATAAATGTAAACTTTCATAACAGGAAATGAAACTTACTGTATCAAATGGGAATATTGGGCCAATGAAGAATACCAGATGTGTTTTGCCATTCCAGCCCACTTCCCCCAGTTGGATGCAAAGGGATTTGCAATAAAGGTAACACATATGATGATTATTATACAAGTGGGTAATATTAAAATCTCCTCAGCTAATATAAATTGAAATGTAAGTTTGGTCTTAGTTTCTGAACTCTGTGCATGAAGCTTGCTACTTCAAGTTCTCTTTCTAATTATTGATATCCTTGGTAAAGCGGGGAGGGGAAAAAAAAAAAGTATGAGAAGAATAAGATCATCAGCAATTTTTGCTATATTCCAAAAATAAATGTTCTTATGTACCTTCTTGTAGGTGTATTCTCAGCCTGTGCCTTGGGATTTTTATATCACACTTCAGTTACAGGAGCGTCTGAATACTGATTTTGACCAAAGCTTCAGTGAGAATTGCAGCTGTTACTTGTACCAAGATGGCTGTGCTATTTTGCACAGGGATATAAATCGCTTCACACTTGGGGTCAGTACAGACCAGCAAAGTACAATTGTAGAAGACATGAACTCTTGCGTAGTAACATGAACTGTTAGCGAGTTTTGTTTGTCATTATGCTCGTTGCCGAAGATGGCTTCGTGTGTTTAATCCTGCAGTGTAGATCCTCTGATTTTTTGTTTTATCTATGCACAAATTGGGACTGTCTATTCTAGCCTTAGAGCTGGTTTCTCATTTGGAGATAATTTGCTTCTCGGAGACAAACCTGAACCGATTTTTCACTTTTTCTTTATTCATGAGTGATAACCTGAGCCAAGAACCACATGTTATTCCACAATGAGGTTTGCATCTAAAACTCTTGTTTAACTTGGCATCTTTCAATGAGTTCTAGTCTTCCAGTCTGCTATAGCAAAGTCATAGCATTTAGTGTCTTGCTGAAGGATTTACATTTTAAATAAAGTCTTGTAAGTGACTTTTGAATTGTTGCATATAAATAGGATACAAATTAAATAGTGATTTTGGTCTTCAGTTCAATTTCCTCCTCCTGATCTTTTGTCCAATTCTAAATAATAGTGTCTCCTATGAGCTTATGAATTTAATTCTGACTGGGCTGATAATGGGCAAAATCTGATTGTACTGAATTTGGGGTAGGACTGTTATCTCTGTACAGATGAGTAGGGAAAACAAGGTGAGCTATAAATATTAATCTAATGTAGAATGGCATGTAGATACACATTTATTCCCTGTTTTCAGGATGTTATTCGTGGCTGTAAATCTATCACAGAGGAGGTTATCCTGCTGGTTGTTTATAATCTTCTGGGTGTGGTTGAGAAGCTGCACAAAGCAGAGATTGTCCATGGAGATCTGAGTCCAGAGGTGTTCTTTCTGGGAAACAGGTTCGTCTCTTTATATGAATACGGGAGGATCTGTAATGCTCAGTTTCAGCTGCAGCTCTTATACTTTTGTAATCTCTTCTCTTTAGTTGGAGTACTGATACTGCGGTCCTGTTTGTGTATGCTACAGTGTATTCTGGAAATAGGGAAAACACTTTGTTTAGGAATAAAGCTATCTATTTCTATAGAATAATTTAGACAATTATGTAAAACTTCACAAAACCACTTTGTTTAGTATATTACCTGTGTTCTCAAGTTTCTACTTTACTGGTGTACTAGACAGCTAACTGGATATTGGTAAATAACTTGCCTTCTGGTTTTACTTATCTGAAAAACAGGAAATTGGAAGACAAAGGGCAGGTGGGGCTGGAATATCCAGACAGTCTTAAACAGATTACTTACCCTCCACTACAGTCCAGCTTGTAACCTGATGTGCAGATTTAGTTTTCTTTAAGCTCTTTCCCATATTATGTTAACAAAGTCACATATTCCTTGGAATGTGATCTGTGAACTAAGTGTGGGAAGATGGTAACTTTGGCATGTCTGATGATTCAGATATAATTCCTTTAGAAGAAATTCACTGAGGCTGTTCTTAGTCTTCACTGATACGTTAAAAATAGCTATTAACTTTACATTAATTTTGAACTTAGTTGTCTAACATGCACACCCCCAATATATTTTATTTATAATTTCTTTAACTTATTTATTTATTTATAAACTGCATCCCTGTACTACTGAAGTTCTAATGTTTTTTCACAATGGATTGTCTTGCACATCACTTAAGGTGCATGCCTCCTATTTTGGAAGCCACTGATCTAACTAGTGGGTTGCTGGACTTGGATATCTCCTGCTGGATTTCTCTGCGGCAAATACAAACCAAGCTAAACTGCCAAAAAGTTTAGAGTAATGATTTTTTAGATAGCAAAACTATTACTAGGACAAGTGCATAGTATAAATTACAAAATAAGCTCACAACATACAAGTGTGTAAGAAGAGTAGTGAAAAGTGCAATCTGTTTATGCTCTTGGCTTGGCAAGTACACTGTCATCTGTGTAGGTACTTCTCACAGCACTTTGTTTGTCCTCCCTGGTGTGTAGATTAGGAAGGGTTTATTAAAGTATTATGAAGCTTAATTCTTTTTGTATAGAGTACCCTTTAAGGAGAGGGAGGAGTGCTAAACATTATGCTGTTCTCCCCTTCCACCAACTATGTTTCAGATAACTGTGACAAATATCAAAACAGCCTCATCGTTAACCCTGTAGTGTCTCCTGTTTCTTACTCTGGGGATAACCAGTTTCACTTCTAAGCTTCAGGCCACCAGCTGGTTCTCCATCCAGGGACAGTCCTTTCAGTAGTAGTTCTTAGGCTGACCATCAGAGGGGAGCATTGACACAGCTAAGACTCACATTCATTGTGTTGTTAAATTTCATTTAAAAAAAAAAAAGTTTGCTGGATTGTTTTATGCTTCATTTGCTTTCTCTGCTCAGGATCTGTGATCCATTTGCTAATGATGAGATGACAAGAGCTCTGAAGATAGTGGATTTCTCTCACAGTCTAGATTTGAGATTACAGTCTCGTGTAAGCTTGCCCAACAGCTTTCCTATATCTCAGACCCCTCATGGACAACAGCTTCTGACGAAAAGTTCTCTTCCTTATCAGGTGAGTCTATTTAGGAGGGCATTTTAGTTTCTATGTCTTTACAAAATTTTTTTTTTTCTTAAACTATATTTTACAAATTCTCTGGGAAGCTCTGGATCAATAAATACTGCATAAAGAGAATTTTTCATCTGACTAAATCTTTGGCAATAAGTGGAGGGACTAGCAGCACTGTTGAGTGCCTGGGACCATTGTATTTATTTAGGAATCTACAATAAGAGCAGAATTTTGCTTTTTGAAGTTTTCTTGCTTCGCAAGTCTCTGGAAGAGTCTGATGGAACAGCCAGTTTAAACTTAAATGTGTAGAAGTGCCAACAGCAGAAATCTGTAGTGGATTGCAAAAACTGATGGAACTTGAACTTTCCAATGTTCATTGTGATTGCAGGTAGACTTGGTTGGCATTGCAGATATAGTCCACTTGATGCTATTTGGAGAACATGTCCAGGTCCATCAAGAGAATTCCGTCTGGAAAATCAGCCAAAATTTATCAAAGTAAGTCCTTTCGCAGAGGAGGCTGCTGGGAAAGATCAGACTTCTAACTAACTTCCTTCACTTTCTTTACAGTGGTACTATCTTCAAAGGTTAGAGCACAGAACTTAGTGCTGTTGTTGTCAAAAGCATGAGTTCTGTGGGGACTTGAAATTTTGAAGCTACTAGAGTTGTTCACTATATAGTAGCCTTGGTGCTGTGTAGGAGACAATTTTAAGCTGAATATGAGCCTAACAGCCCAGCTGAGATGATTTTGCTTTTCCCCTTTCAGACCAGACTCTTTAGTCTCTCTTTTCATTTGATAGACCAAACTGGGAGAAGTTTATAAGTGGTGAGGGGAAAAAAGTTACACAGGCATGTTGCTTTAGAAATGGAGATTTTGGTTTTCTGCTTTTTTCCTTCTAGACTGTATTGAAGGGCTACTAATGCACTGATGCCAGGCTTCTGTCTGTAACAGTTGCAGAAACAGTATACGTGCACGAGAAGGAAAATAATTTAAAATTAAAATTTAAGATGCATGTGCAAGCAGCTTCTTTTTGGAAGCTGCTGTTTGTCCTCAGGTATTAATTTCTACTGCTCTCTTTTAGTCACATGTTTGTCTGTAAGACTACTCTGCCTTCATCTACCCTTTGTTCTTAGACTAAACACTTGTTCATTTTGTTATTCACATCCTACAGAATTTTCTGCCTTGGCTTTTCATAAGGCTTTTCCAGAACTCTCTGCTCATGACAGAAATTACTTGACAGATAGCTGCATGCAGGATCATGGTATATTAGCTACACCCATGGTGTGGATATAGTTCTATAACCACTGCTTCAAGAAAACATGCTACCAGTCTGGGAGTTGGCCAGTTCCCTAGCAACCTGCATTACTTCGAAAAAATCTCATCATCTTAAGCTGTGTACAGGGAAAAAATGCTTTTTTTTTATCTTTACTGGGCATATATCTGGTTTTCTACTACTGATAGCAGTACATACAAGGCTACAGCCTGCTTCTGCTGAGTGCTGGCTATGTGTGCCACACCATACCTTGTAGTGTTTGGTTTTTTTCTGCAGAGGATCAATATGCAGGACTAGGCTGTGAAGAACAAAATCACCAAGGGTGATTGTTCTTTGAACAGGTGAATATCAGTGATGCATATGTTGGCAGTACATACCTTATACTGCCTTTGTAAAAAAGGCAACTCAGTCATTGTCGGAGATTGGCATTTGCTCTCTACTGATAGATATTCTCACATAACCTGTCTTTGAGCTATGTAAATCTGACGTGGTCTGAAAAATAGGACTCCTATTTTTCTCCTGTTTTTCCTATCTGAAAAATAAGACTCCTTAATTTCTATCAGAACTTGATCTGTTTTTAACAATATCTTGTTGGGATAGACAGACAGATTTCTGACAAGCTTTTCCTTTTTTAATTTAAACTTTATTTATTTTTTTAATTCTACAAAAGATTACATTGGGCTACTACAGATGAAGCCACACAAGGCCTGAGTTGGGAAGGTAGGAACAGTGTGTTGGAGACCCAGTCTGGATGTGGGTATGGGAAAAATGGCAATAAGTCTAGATAATGAGTAGGAGCGCTGAGCAACAGGTATAAGTCTTGAGTTTGGAAGGATAGCGCTGGCTGCTGTGGGGAGTCCGGAGAGGAGAGGTCTGTTGGAAAGGAATTTCAGTCATAGTTCTCATCACTGGATTGAAAGAAATAGGATTCTGGGTAAAAGTAGAACTTGAAAGAAGGTAGAGTCTGGGATGAGTTCTGTGTAGCTGGAACCAGGCTGTGATGGCTCATCACTCGCTGGGTGCCTCGGTTTATAACCCTGCTTTGGAGCTGAGAGCACAAATGAGGAATTTCCATTTTCTTCTACTTGCTTCTGAAAGGGTGACAGACTATTAATCTTCCATACTTAGATTTCAATATCAAGAATTCCAAGAAATGTTTGTACAGGTGCTTTAGTTACATGTTATACTTAAGTCGTATATCAACAGTGTAAACGAGGCCTTTCATTATGTGGGAATAAGGAATCTGCACTGAATCTTTTTTTCCATTCACACACAGATCTTTTAGGCTCTTATTAATTGACAATCTCCAGTCAATTTGAAGCTTTCAATAAATTCTCAAGTAAACTCTGACAAGCAAGTTTACTGCTGCAGGGCATCTTCATCCACCAGAAGAGGCTGTACAATTAAGCACTTCCCTGAGAGAAGAGTTGGCTGATGGGTATTAATTAATCTTGTGCTTTACCCTTTGTATACAGCCACCTGTGGGGACACAGGACTCTTCTTCCTGTTGCTTTCAGTAATTCTACTTTTCTAAGGATCATGTTACTTCTTTCTGCTGAAAGTTCTATAAGTGACTTGGAAAGTGTTTTTTTGTTTCTCTGGGGGTTGGTTTGGGTTTGTTGGGGTTTTTCTGACAAGATAACTTTCCTCTAAGAATGTTCAGAGAATTTAGGCAGTGGCAAATAGAAAGAAGGCTTCTTACTAGCAGGCTGATGTTAAATGCAACCATGACCCCCTTATCATAGGAAGGCTTTTAAAAAAGGACAATTATTTTTAAGTATTAAACTAAAGATAGTAGAATGACTGGTGAAGCCATTCATTTTCCTACCAGTTCAACAAAATGCCAAAGCAGCAGCGAATTGCAAGGCAAAGCACAAAATTGTTCTGAGGCCAATGGCACTCACTAAAGCAGAACCCTCTTAAAAGGTGACAGAATGAGTGCAAAACACTTAAATGTTGTAGGAAAAACTTCTGGAAGGGTAGAATGTGAACTCTGATCAAGTTTCTTTTTTTATCTTTGAGCACTACTGTAAGGTTGACAACCTGTTTTTCAGGGGAGGGGTTTTTAGCATGTTACCATTACTAAAGAATGAATTTGGAGATTTTTCAGTTCCAGGAGTGGTTTTAGTTTTTCTATTTTCATTGTACTATTTTAGGAAACTTCATCTGCAGGCTTATGTGAGGCAGTATATAGAAGCTGTATTTGAATTTTTAGGACTATTTTTGTCACTCATAACTCCTTAGACATCCTTACCAACCTCCTCTGCTCTGCCTCTTACTTGTCGAAGTCCATGAAGAAAATGGCCTCAAGACTGACTTTTTTTTTTTCTTGGTTATGTTCTGTATGACTTAATTATTTTAGAAAATGTAAGAGTTACTAGTGTAATAGCACAGGCCAGATTCCTTCTGAGACTATGGCTGCTGCTGTTGTGTGAGTCACTTACATAAAGCAGAGGCAGATAATTTGTTCAAAGCCAATGTAACTCCTGGCTGGAGGGAGAAAAGTGCTTCAGTAGTCAGCAGCAGTGCGGTCTGTGGACTTCAGTGTGAGACTGAAGAACAAAGGGTTAGCTCTGATAGCAGTTTTCTGAGATTTTAATGAGTCACTTAACCTTTTTATTCATGTTGTGTGGGTATATCTGGGAGAGAGGGATTTATTACTACTAATTGTCTTTGAAATGTTACCTATATGAGAACTCTGGCAGATAGAAGGCAGGGGAAAAAAGTAAAACTAGCTGTAAACCACTCTATCTTTTTCCTTAATTCTTTAAAAAAAATTCTTTATTTCTCTGGCAGCTTTCCTTTAATATTGACCTGTGAGGGATAAGATTTACCTCTACCCCTTATTCATGAAAGGAGTCTGCCAACTTTGTTGGTTCAAATAATGCTTTTGATAACTCCTTTAGTTTAGAAGTGCCATGGCTCAATGTGAATGGTGATAGTGGTCAAGTACCCTGGAAGAGGTAACTGTAAAAATAGTGGTTTTGATAGGCCTGTGAAACAGCCTGTCTGGTTACTATCCAGAAGCCTACTGGAGAAGGGACCCATGTGTATGAACTCAACAATATATTCCTAGATTTCCTTTACCTTTACTCATGTGACAGAAATTATTATTTCCGACTTGGTTTTCTCAGGACATTTAGTGCTGAATGTAAGTGGAATTTGTCGTGTATGCCTGCTGTTTCACTGAAACTGCTCTATTTCTTTTAGGATCGTTGACAGTGATTTCTGGGGTAAACTTTTTGGGAGAATTCTGAATGCAGATGGTAAGTCCACAGTGTCTCTGCTGAGGGAGTTAAGAGAGGAAATAAGTGACATGTTTGACAGCCGTTTCCAAGAACGTCTTTGTGAATCCTTAGCTGCGCTGGGAGAATCTTTCCTCTTGGAGAACTTCCTGTGATTTCATAGAGGACAAATGTATTTTGTATTATAGAGTGGAATTTGTTGTTAACTTTTTATTTATTTTTTTTTAAATGTAAGCATGAACAGTGATTGTAGCCGTTTCTGCAATACTTCACGTGGGATTCACTAAAGAATGTTGATATGGCATCAGTACATAGATAACCTCCTAAACCTGCTGGATGAACTAGTCTGAGTAGTTTGCCAGAGAAAATTGGTTGTCATAACTGCCCCCTCCCCTTGTGTAGCTCCTTAAAAATGTGTTTAATACCCAGTTCACACTGCAGTTTCTGAAATGTCTTTGTCCTATGTTTAGTTGGTCTTTTAATTGGTGTTTCATCAATAAAGTTGAATTTTGATAGCAATTCTGTCATATTAAACACTATTGTCAGATGGTTTCGAAACACTTGATTTATTATCTGTGCTGGAGTGCCTCTGCCTGACTAGGAATTGTTTGTGACTGCTGGATACAAAAGCCTCTCATTTGGTGGCAGCTTTCATAACCACACAGGACTTCCTGGACACTTGGAACAACTGGAATAATTCTCCTTGGAATGTGCTCTCATGGATGATTGTCATAAGAAAAAGTAGATTAAGTCAGGAGTGAAAAAAGTGCAGACTTAAATTTTTGTTTCTCAGTGCAAGTGTTTTATTTACTTTTGCAAGGGCCAGACTGAGCATTTTTCAGAAATCTCACTGAAGTCTAAATCTGCCATAGGTGCTGAAGTGTGTTGCAGGTTTCTGTGGGAGGTTTTGTGGACAGATATTTGTGTTAACCTTTTATGCATTGTATTGTTGAAACCAACGCACAGACTTCATTTTTTTCAAGAGAACAGAATTTACAGGATCCAAACCCAAGATGCTACATATCTTAAGTGTAGAGGAACTTCTCAGACTCGGGATTTACTTCCTCACAGCTTCTGCCACATACAACAGTGAGTGTAGAAGACTGCATCACCAGTAACAACTTCTCCCTATGAAATAAAATTGCTTTAAGTGTGTTTTTCATAGGGTTATATTCTCTGGCTATGGTTCTGTTTGATTCTCCCCTCCTTGTATTATCTCTAAATTCTGCTCTGGAACTTAATTCCATATTTTCTAAATTGCTAATAATCCGCCTCCTTTCCTGTTCTTTCTGCATATGTCTATTGCTACTCCTTTTGCTTTGACCTGGGTTCTTTTTGCTCTTCCAGATACCCAATGCCTTCTTTATTGTCCCTTTTGGAGGTATTATACTCTTGTAATTCAGGAATAGGACAGATGCACTGATAGACAAGCTTTAATATCTAATGTAAACTGCTGCAGAATTTTTTTTTTGTCCATTAATGCCTCAAATAATGCTTCCTGTAATACAAGTCATTACTTAGTCATCTATTGAGCAAGCAGTTGAAATAATGATCTATCTAGCCAGTGCTTGGAGCAGAGATCACTGCTAAAGCAACTAGGAGCTATGCATTGGACTAACTTTAGTTAGCTCTAAAAGGATGTGCATGTTTATTACTGCTTTCCATTAGTTGAAATTAGTTTTCTTTTTCTGATCTTCTAACTTCCTTTTAGACAAAGTTTGGGGGATCTCACTTACTGTCCTATCACATTCAGCCTTTTCAGTTTGTCCTGCAACATGGGTAAGAAAACCATGTAGCTTAGGAAGAAAAAGCTCAACCCACAGATTTCTCAGGCAAGAAGTGTTTCCAGCCACCATAGAACACCTATTTCCTAAACCTTATTCAGACAAGAAAGCTTTTGAGAACAGTCTGAACACACAGATAAGAACCCTCATCAGAAGTAAAGGAAATTTGTTCTTCAGGTCCCTAAAATCTGTAAGTGAATCTATTTGTCTTTACACTAATGAAGTCTACTTTAAAGCTGATATGCTCTGCTACTACTCTTACATTGACCTGGCATGTTTTCTTTCTGAGCAGAAAGTGTGTGCTCATCCTCCCTCTAATACAACTACCCTCCATCAGTTGCACATTATGTCATCTTACTCTTTCTGTATATCCCAGCCAACACCAGTGCCTTATAACTAAAAAATTATTGGAACTCCCCTCCTCCTTAGTACTGTAAAATAAGAAACATTTAGCAAGGGCATTACACAGTTCTCCATAAGAAACAAACACACACAAATAATGAAGAGGAACTAGCAGCTATAAAAAGAAAGCAGACACCTCTCTTCTGCTTGTTCCCAGGTCTACTCTACTGGAACTCCACATCTCTTCCACACAGGTTAGTCTCTGCCCACACTGTCCTCTGAGTTGATTGCACCAATATGTAAAAGCAGCTTAGGGTGGTCTTTTGGACATCCCTGTTGTATCTCTGTTCAAGTTTTGTTCTCTAAGCAACTTGTGCAACCATGATCCATTACATTCCTTAGACTTATGTATATGTTTTCATATAGTACACACTATATTAAAACTTGCAGTAGCTCAGATTCCATCACCATATTTTTTAGTGATAACCTCACTAGGACTTCTAGGCCTGGATATCAGAGATGACTTCACCCTACCCTCTACCCCTTGTGGTGGTACTTGTCATCTTGACAGCTGGAGGTTCCTTCTTCTGGAGGTTTTAGGACAATTTTGATCTCCACGCAGCCTGGAGGCAAGCCTGTTTTATTTCATGAATGGTCTATTACAATCCTGGCTTCTGACATCTCAGAGCATGTTTGTCTTATAAGGATTCAAAAAGGGATGCTTGGGAAAAAACTTGTCTGAGGTTGGAAGCAGACAGTTACTTGAAAAGGAAATAAAACCACCCACAACATGGCTTTGTGCCTGCTAATACGTGCTTAATACCAGAGGGTAAATAGGTTTGATCATGTTTGGTTACCAGAAAGTAATACCATTGGCAGCTGGAGAGGAGGGTGCCAAGTTGACTAATGTTTCCTGGAGGAAATGCCACACACTTGAATTCTTACACATCCATTCTATTTGTATTTGGCTTTTCTGTATCTGATGTGAAAACACCAAACTCATTAAAATAAATTAAAGGTGAACTTGGCATAAGTAAACTGCTCTAAAAGTTTTCAGCAGAGTGACATTTCCTTAATCATATAGTTGGTGGATATAACACAAGTTGTGGGACGTTTGTCAATATGAATGTTAGTCTAAGTGCTTACTGAATTTGGCCAATGTTTGGTTAAATTTCAGAGTTGGAAGAGCTCTATCATAAATGTAGGAGACAATTGTAGAGCAAGATATACTATTTCACTGTCCTAGAAAATCAGTAATTTTTTTTTTAAGAAAAGAGACCCGATATATTTTTTTAAATTGGAAAATGGAATAAATTTTATGTAGCTGAGAGATGAAAAAATACATATCTATGATGTTGCCATTCCTCCTTAGCCTGTTTTCCATTTGAACACAAAGTTAGTTTTGCATGTATATTAACTGTAGCTACAGTAACAATATCCTGCTCCTTGGCTACTGTTGAAGTAGTAAATTTTCTTCACTGAAATTACTTATTAGATGCAATTCAAGTACAGTCTAAATGCTATGCGTGATACTACACTTGGAATAATGGTATTGTCCAGATGCTTTTTCTCCTACCTGGGTAACCTGTGGTAGGAAAGTTATTTTTTTTTATGCACAGCTTATTTCCCTGCTTCTAAAATGTTTCAGTAGTATCACAGGTGTTTGACAAGAAAGGTCAGAAGAAAGGAAGTGATTTGTAATGTTGGACACTGCTGGAAAGCACATATGGATCCTCCTTCTGAAGTCTGAGAATCTTTGTTTTTTGCCATTTTTCTTATGATCCATGTGCCAGCAGCAGCACTTGGAGCTTTAGATCTGTCCATAGAGTTCTGCCTGGCCAGAGAGGGGGAAGAGAACAGCAGACAAAGCCTGCCCCTATTTCTTTCTTATTTCTTGCTAGGGATAGTGCTACAGCAAAAGGTTCTTCAAAGGCTACAGAAAAGGGTCAGGGTACAGAACTGAGCTTTTAACTTTTTCAGAAATTAAGACCAACTTGACATGCTCTGGATGCCTTGAACATGCACTTCACAGAATAATAGCCCTGCCTGCAGTAACCCACCCAGACCCCAGATACTTGGATCAGAGACTAGGGAATATTTGGTGTGCTTGTCTCCTGCTCAGGCTCTGGCATGTTTGTTCTCTGAAACAATTTGTTGGTATTTGTAGGGACTCCTGTTTCCTCTGCATTCATACAGCTTTGATTCAGAAACAGTAAAAGAGTTAAGGCAGTAACGTCTGCTCTGTTACATTAAGTGGAAAGGGGTCTAGAAATAATGGCAGAGAGTCACTGAGCCCCCCAAAATGCTGCAGATAACAAATCTAGGCTGATCGCACGTATATGAGATACACATGTACTGGGAGTGGGGCAAAATCCACGGGTCTGAGCTGTTTTCTGCTCATCAGGCTCCGGTAGCTGCATCTGGGTTCAAAGGAGGGGCTTCCACTGTTCCTAGGGCTCATCAGAATCACTGTCTACACCTGTGAAATACAGGTGATACAGGTTACCTCGTTGGTATTTGTGTGTATTGATGACCAGCAATGTTACATAACCTTATTACCTCTACTTGATATATCAGTACAAAGGGTAAGAAAAAGCAGATCTTGATATTGAAGAACAGAAAAGTGATTAAAAGAAGCTGCAGAAGCCAACAATGAGAGTTCCAACGCAATAATGCTAAAGCAATTTACTTTTTAAAGTATATCTATATTTTAAAGTCTGTTGCAAGCTCAGAAACTAACTTGCTAATGCTTTACATCTTAATAGATCATTTTAAGGAAATGTGTCAGCTAGACTTGCCACCTGCTGTCCTAAAAAGGTATTTTATTTGTAGGAGATTCAAAATCCTAAACCCAGGATAATTGGTAAAGGTATTTATCAGCTTGGATAGATATATTCCAAATGCATTGATACCTGAGACTTCTCCTAGCCTGGGGTCCGTGTTAAATAGAAAGATTGGGCAAACCACCTAGAGAAGTACACACCTGCTGATAAATTATCAGAGGTGTAAGCTGGTCCTGTCCTAGCAGGTGCAATTATTTAGAGAAGATTTCCAGAGTGAACTAGAAACAGTAGCTTGCACTCCCTCTTAACTGGTTACCAGGATGGTGCCACAGCTGGGGGTTTGGCTGCTTAGCCCACCCCACTCCTACCCAGTAGGTGCTCAGAGCCTGAGGAGCAGCACAAAGCAATTCCAGCCCGTAAGGCAGTTTCCTCGGGGCCCAACTGGAAACGTAGTGTGGGGAATAACCGGGACGTACTGGAGACGTGGGCACACCTTCAGGGCTCTGGGTGTGGGCACTGGGGAGCTGTGGGGGGATGGCTCCTGTGGCTGGAGTGCTGGGATGGGAGGACACGGGCTCTTTAGGGGGG